GGTGTAAGTGGCATTTTCTCTTAAGACAAGTTGTATAAACGTTCCCATATGTGTAAATATATTTACTATTATAATAGTCTTCACTAATAAGAATGGGAATGAGATTTAGCATCTTTTAAAATTGTGATGTTAAATATTTCAACTATCTCTATATTGGAATAAAAGATTTCATCTTTAAAACTATTGAATGCAATTTCCAATTGATATTGTATACGTTATATGTTTTAATACTATGATATGCATAATAAATTGCAAAGATTGTCCTGTATTATACATTAGTAAAACGAAGTTAAAATTATAAAAAAAACGAGTCGGAGCACTTGCATTTTATCAAAGATGTACACATTAATAAAACATATATTATACACTTAATTCACTTCTGATTTTTACTGATAATTTTATACTCATTATCAGATAATAAAACTTGGAAGAATATTGTATGTGAAATAAATATTTATAAAAATGATTTTACAAAAAATAAATTTACGAATAGTCACAAAAACTGGACATGATTCTTGCATTTTATTTCACAATTTTTACAAATAAGATTATCATACATGTGTTTAAAATTTTTTGACTTTCAACAATGATTTGCAGTGAACTAAAATTTTTGGTGTCAAGAATTTGATAGGTAAAAAGTAAATTCTTATATATTAATGTATATTATTTTTGATTCTAATAGTCCTGCAGAAGGGTACAGTTTATATATCCGAAACGTTGAAAATATTTGTACGTATAAAAAAATATATAGTTCTTTGAGAGAAAAAGGAGGTTTACGTTCAAGATATAATAAGCGTTTTTAGTTAGTGAATTAACTTTTATGAAAATTGGTTGAATCATTACCTGATTGAATTTTCTCAAATATACCGGAATTTTTCCGTCCTTCACAATTATTATAGCACATTAATACGAGAAATGTTATTACCAATAAATATTGTAAACGCATTTTGCAACTACCATAAACTTTTGTTTAATGTTTATTTCTTGTTGAAAACTTTGAAAGAAATGATCAACACCTATGACTTTGAAATTACGGTTACTGAATAATTTATTAAAACAACAGGGCGCCTGAACATTTTCGTTAGCTTGATAATCAGATCGTATGAAGATATAGCAGATTGAATGAATATTATAGAATGAATTAATTATTATTTTTTATTTTCGATGCCACAATAGACAACATTTATCTATGACTAAACTATGACCATCATATGAGGTGCTCATTCACTAATCCTAATCTAAGCTCATTTATACTGAAAAATAGGCAGAAAATCTATTAATCACTCATATATCTTTTTTTAAACATTATTTTTATGTTTTGTAAATTGAACACCTCAACATTTTATTAGACGTTTTACATATGCAAGATGAAGGCATATTCTTTAAAGTCATTATTATCTAGGAAATGAATTTACATTACTTTCTGATATTCAATAATTTATTTATTCAAATTTAAAGTAATTCAATAATACGATTCTTATAATTTTTACTTGATGTTTGCTTATTTTTTCATTTCTCAAACATGAATTTTTATACTTTTCGTGGATAGTCATTCCCTTATTTTTTTAAATTATAATAATTCTTCAAATTTTATTTGCTTAAATGTATAAGTTTATTTTTAATTCAATTAATTATTATTGAATAAGTCAGTCAGTTGAAGTTGTTAAAATATTGGATGCAGATAGGGCTCAAAAATACTAAATTTAGTAGTATATACTAATACTAAAGTAATAGTATTTCTTACGACTTTAATTTGTCAAAATCATTTGCAATGCAAGATTTTTTTTACATTTTATCGTGGTGTTAGATTTTATTAAAAGGTTTTGCTATTCTTTTTGTATTTTAAAACACTTCTATTATAACAGTCTTGTTACAATTATCAAGAAAAGTGTCACAAGTACTTGCTAGAATATGTATGACATTTTTCTTAGTTTTGCATTCGGAGGATTATTTATAATATACAAAAACATTAACTTATATTTTATTATTACTTTGTCGATAGATGTAAATCAGAATAATACTGCAGTTCCTAAATGTTTCTAAAACACAAAATCTAGCTTTAGAATTTATTTAGTTTTTTGCAAATATTTTTGGAACAGCGCACCGAACCTGAGACTCCTCTTGTGATGAGATGTCTCAACAACATAGGTTGACCTCTTTGTATTGGATATATTTCTATTAATAGAGTTTTTTTAATTTCGGGGTACTTTTACTTGAAAAGATATATCCATCTATATTTTCAAGTGAAAACCCTCTGCCAGGATCACTCTATCCGTGATGGGTATTAAAACTTAAACCTTCTGGTCAGAAGGCCAAAGCTCTAGTCTCTAAGCCACGGAGAAGCCCCTATCAAAAATGTGTCTAATTGAAAATAGTCTTTTCGAGCAGTGCGGTGCGAAAAGGCAATGACACATTTCGAATTTAAGTTGAAGATTAATTTACCCGATTAACAGTACTCGAATGATTAATTTTTGTTTATTACAAAGCTTATTAATTTATTTTTATACATTACAAAAAGTTAGTAATGTATGGTAGTTACTATTTCCACAACATTTTCTCAAACAATTATTACGAGAATAAAATTAATCAAATAAAACCATAAACCATAAGATAGTAATGCACAATATACTTCAAAATGTTATTTTATTTTTCAAATTTCAAACCAAACCAAAATACTGGAGAAAGAAATTTTTAAAATTTGAAGATTTTGATGATAATGAAATATACACGTGTATTTTCCAGCTGAATTTCACAATAAAAATCATTTATTAACTTCCCATAGGAAAAGTTATAGTAATCGCAAAAAAATCGAAAATGAAAAATTTTATACATCTTTATTTTTCAAAGGTTTTTGAACATTTTGGCATATTTTAGAAAAAATGTATGTATGCGTGTGCGTGTGTGTGTGCGGATACAAATTTTCGTCGACGATTTCGGGAATACGGATCTACCGATTTGAATAATTCAAAAAACATTCGATTCGTATTGATGAGGAGACGTGCTGATTAGTTTTTGGCGTAGGCGGGTCTAGCCGTTCCAAAGATACGGGGCAAAAAGTGCCAAAACCAGTAATTTAGTTTTTGACATTTTACTTGTATTGACAAGATGAAGAACTGATTAAATTTTTGGGAAGGCAGGTCAAGCGGTTATGGACTCTCAATAAAAATAAGTTAAAAAAATGTCTTTGGCGGTCAACAATGTTTATTGGACATATGTACATCAAATTATCAGATATTTTGTAGAGATTTTAATAATGTGTACACATTTTGTGTAATTTTTTTGGGTTCTGTACCAAGATTTTTGATTACGGTTTGATAAGTTGAATAATTTGAATCGTATATTTAGTGCAAATTTAATATGGCAGTCATATATAAATGAAAATAATTCGTATTGGACTTTTATTGGATTCAAATTGATAAATGTAGAAAAGTTGCCAAGATTTCTATTGGACTTTTATTAGATGTTGTGAAGATTCCTATTGGACTTTTATTAGATTCAGAATAAAGAAAAACTTTTAAATTCGGTGCGGTGATTTTGTTTAATAATTTATTTTAACTTATAACATTATCGGTATATTTTTTATCGATAATTAGAGGATTTAGGTGCAGGTCTTAAAAATTAATCTATTGTTTAATTGACTAAATATTAAACTATTCTTATTATATTTTTTACTCCGAATCATAAAATTCAAAGTCACTTCACTTTATAAAGAAAGCATTTACAGAAATTGAAATAGCGTGACGGTAATATGTGACCCGCAACAGAAGAAAAACACCTTGAGCAGGAAGTTATGGTCTTATTTTATAATGTCATCTAATTTGCGAAGTGATTTACTGTTTTAGTTCCGTAAAATCATACACTGTCTATTTACTTCACGACATCATATCCCATTTGCCAGTAATCTCTTCACCTAATGTCTTTCGCTACTCAGTAATAATGCTTTTATTTATAAGAAAATAGATTTTGTATTGGTTTATATGAATAATATTCTTCGAATTGTTATAAAATGTTCAGCAAATCTATATTCATTCTAATAATTCAATGGTGCATGCTGGAAACAAACAGTTCTAAAACTCCACCTATGGTATTGTCACCAGCGCAAATTAATAGTTTAAAGGAATTAAGTGAAATACCTTTAGACAAACTTTTGAAGGTATGTATTGATCACAAGATGTGATTTAATTTATTAAATATTATTTTATATGTAATTTTATATATGTGTGCTTGAATTGGAAATGTTGCAAATGTGAGTATTCCCGAATTCGAATAATACGCGTTTTTTTTTAATTAAACATAATGTTCCTAGTAAAGTAATTGTAATAGAAGTATATTAGATATTTTTTCAAACTTTATAACTATTCATAAGTAATTTCTGTAATATCTTCAATCGATATTTTAAATTTGTCCGTACTTGTAAGGTGATCATACGTCCCGGATTGGCCGGGACAGTCCCGGATTTCCACCTTGTGTCCCGGGTTTTTTAAAAGCATGATGTGTACCGGATTTAGATCTTTTGTCCCGGATTGTCCTGTTTTTTTTTTTTAAATTAACAGATGAATTAACAAAAATTAGGAAAACAAACGAACAAGTGCTAATTTTTTCAAAATATTTGTGAACAAAATTGAATAAAATTTTATACAAAACTTAAAAGCGCGAAAGACATATAGATCCATATGAGATATAATATCATAGATGAAAAAGTATAACATATAATCGAATAATAAAGTTCTTACTAAAAGTCCGCAATTATTATAAAAAAAGATTTATATAAAAAAAACTGTTATTATATACCCGGATTAGCATAACCAAAAATTGCCGTCCCGGTTTTGACTTAAAAAAAAATATGGTCACCTTAGTACTTGTTTTAAGTTACACCAGTTCAGAAAGCTGTTGAAATAAGGCGTTTTGATAGATTTTGTCGTTATTTAATAATGAAGAAAATGATTCGAAAGTATTGGTTTTTGTAACTTGTAATGTCTAATTTTCTATATAATTAATAGGTGAAGAAATCTCTAACTTCTTCAGCTTCAATCAACCGCTTCGATGAGGCTCCAACAAATATTCAGTTTAATTATAAACATGGACCAGAAATAGCTCACGCCAACCCCTAATTGGCGGCGAGAAAAAACCACTACTGAGAAGGTATCAAATGAGTCTTTCATCATTAATCTTTTATTAAGTTAATTATATTTAATTAATTGATACTGCTGTGCGGAACCGCGAGCCGTCCAGTAGGGCTACTACAGTGGATCATGCACGACAATATATTTTAAGATTATCGAATCATTAAGAAAAAAATACACTTTTACAAAACTAAAAATTACTATATAAATTGGAATTCTAAATAGTTTAACTCGTAGTACTAAATCTTGAAGCAAAGATCGACAAATTTGAAATGTCTGAAGACGACACTCGATCTCACATAGGCGTCGACACGTGGATGTCGCCTATAGGCGACGCTCTTAGCGTTTAGAGTTTTTAATACAAAACTTTATTTATTAGATTATATATGCATACATACATCAAAAACACATAAATTAGGATCATGAATTTTGGTTCGAGCTAGAAATCGAGATTAGAGCATTAATACACGAAAAAACTACTAGGGCACCATCGTTGTTTATGGTATAAGAATATTATTAATATTAGTTATAAGTATAGTTTTTATTAATTTATTATGTGACGATTTATTTATATTGCTATAATTTATTTCCAGAGAATATGAACATGAATGGACTAAAGATTCCGGTGGAGGAAAAATTCGTAGCGCATTTCACTTGGCTATTACCACATTATCATTTCTTGCATTTGGTGGATATTTGCTGTGTATGATTGTACAAGCAGTGAAGAATAAAGGTATTTCTTAATTTAGAAATTGATTCTATCTGAATATATTTTAATATAATAATAATATATGTATACGACATTCTCAAAGGCACTATACACCACTAACTGCGGTAGAATATCGGATAATAAATGCATAAATCATTTCATAAAAATCAAATCATAAAGTCATTTGAATCTATTATTTATAATTGCTTTAATTTAAGCATCATCTATTTATGAACACTCACGAATATAATATTAGTTGCTATTTGTTTAGTGGCATGTGCCACTTCTTTTTGGGATATCCATATGAATTGGATACATTGGATACAGATAATATATGATATTTCAGTTGAATGTTATGAACATATCTTACCAATCTGAATTTGGTTCTTTGAATAGTTTTCATAAATTAAGAGGAGAGTTTATGATATTTATTCTATCTATCCATCTACTATCATCAAAAAACGACCTAGGTGTTCATACCACGTTTCTACATAATTATATTTAAACTAGGTAGAAGATTTGGTATTTTGCTTTCATTCAGTTGCAAGAAATTTCAGATATATGCAATAGTCGACTTATAAAAAAAAATGTGATTTAGTAACTTATTTTTAACTATCACAATAAAATTTCGATATTCTAATGAATTTTGGCGAGTTTTTATACATGAACATCTTTTTTGTAGGTACATAATATTTTAGGATGCTCGTTAATACTATAAACCTTTTCATCAGACGTTTTATCAAAATCGTCCAAAAGATATTTAACAATTTTCATTCTTTTCCAAAGACTAATCAAACGATTTTCCTATTGATATCTTTCAAATAGTTTTTCAGTTTTCAAAATCGGTTTAGGATTTCTCACGTTTGGAACAAAAAACTATAAATACAACTATACAAGTCTGTAATAAGTACAACTATAATTAATTATTACAAATTAATAATATAAATCTAACTACAATATTTTTAACTGATATTTTGTTATTCTAGGCATGTATTATCCAATGCAACCTCAAACGACCCAAGCCCCGATGTTTTTATCGTTTCCTCCGAAAAGAGGACCGCAAATTGCAAGTTACGGAAGGAAAAGGAGGAGCCAGAATGGAGGGCCGTCGTATTCATCTATTCACATACAAAGTGATGAATTTACTTTGAAAAACGATACTGGAAATTTGTATTACGAGCCGATGTTCCAGGGAGGTATACTAGCTAATCAGTACGAAATGTATAATGCACTAATAATGCTGTCTGAAGGGTTTGCAAAACACTCTGTTATTTAAATATGGATATATTATATGGAAAGCGAGTTTTTAGTGAATAAGACTAAATGCAAGAAATTTAGTTTACTTGTTCATTATAATTTTTTTTTGGCAAAGTCGTCACTGTGTTTATAAAATAATTTCGTAAAAAAGAGAGATATGATAGTGATTGATAATTTTTAACACTAAAAACTAACTCACTTGCATGGATACACAACAAATGCATTTTTTTATAGACTACGCTAATTAATGAATTATAAATATAAATTCTAGAATTATAAATACCAAAAACTTACATTTAAATATATTTATTATTAGTATAAGCATAAATTATTATTATATAATATATAGAAATATTTTACAACATTTTTAATACATTTATAGTATCATTAATACAATTTTTTCACAAGGCAACGATCCAAAAGCAAATCTTCCATTTTTTCAGAATTAAAACCAAAAACTATCACATTTTATTTTTTGTTTATATGTGGACTGATGTTTTAAGATTATTCTTGATGGCTTGTACAACATCCATACTGTTTGCATGGCCACCGATATCTGAAAAATAATTTAAATAGTAAAAAATATGAAAGAAACTTCTAGAAGTTTAGAGTTAATTCATGTTGATTCATTTGTCTTTCTATATCTCTTTACGAATTTGTATTACAAAAGTAATGGGTTATGTGAGTGGAGAGATGTGCCAAAAATTTCTTGTTTCCGAAGTGGTTTTGAAGAAAGAAACCAAATACTGAAGATAATTTACAGATACTTTATGAAACTACAAACTAAAGTAGAAGGTCTGAAAAGACAGAACCTAAGAAAGGCATTTATTGACGACTTATTACAGTAAATTGAAGAAACGAGTCACAGGAAATAGAAATAAGTAAGCACAAGTTTGAATATATTATATATATATATATATATATATATATATATACATTAAATATATCGATAGGGCGATCCCTTATTACCTGGTGTGTGTACTTGATCCTCATTTATTGTTTTGTCAATAGCTGCTTGGATTGCATGTGCATGACGATTATGCCCCAAATGGAATAACATATCAACAGAAGCATTTAACATTGCTATGGGATTAGCAAGATTTTTACCAGCAATAGCAGTACCAGTATTTCTAGTTCCAGGCTCAAAAATGGCGTACTGAAAAGATAAAATGAGAAAATATAAATATTACAAGCATTTTATTAGAGCTTGTTAGTTAATGTATGCATCTTCTGATCACAATAGTTTATCCATAATATGTGTAAATAATAATAATTGTTTATTGGTCAGAATTAATTGACTATCATTGGTCAGAAAACAATTCATACAAAATATCACTTTGGATTACAAAATCTACTTAAAAATGTAATCCACATTTTTTCTAAATAAAAGGGCTTCATTATTATTAAACTTTTAGCTATATTGTAGATAAAATCAAAAAATTCAAACACGAAACATTTCTACTTCATAAAATAACTCACAAAAAAGTGATATTGAGTGTTGAGATATTGTTTTGAACTAATTGACTTTTCATATTACACTTACATGATCTCCATAGTTCTTTCCACTTAACAAACCGGCACCACCAACTAAACCGCAAATAACATTAGACACAATAGTGCCGTACAAATTCATCATATTCATAACATCAAATTGATGTGGTTTAGAAACCAATTGCATACAGCAATTGTCTATAATCATGTCGTTATGTTCAATATTTGGGTAATTCTTTGATACATCTCTTGATATTTCTAAGAATAATCCATCTGACAATTTCCTGTAAAAAATTCGATACAGACATTAAAACTGGCTATTATGATAGAAATATAATGTTATCATATGTCTATTCCTCATGATGAATTTTACTTACATAATATTTGCTTTATGGATTGTGGTTACTTTCTTTCTGCCATTTTTTTGTGCATATTCAAAGGCATATGTTGCAACTCTTCTGGCATTTTCAGCAGTTACTACTTTCATACTCTCAACTACACCTGATACACTCTAAAATTTTATTATTTATAAAAACAATTTAAAATATCAACAATTAAGAGAAAGTTAAACTGACCTCATGTTCCAACATTGCATATTCACCTTCAGTGTTTTGTCGAATGATTGTAATATCAATATCATGGTGTTTACTTTGCACACCACTATATGAACGACAGTTTAAAACATTTACAAATAAATCTAATTCGTTTCTCAGGGCTACATTACGAGATAATACTTGTGCAGATTCACTTTTGGTTTCAATATTACCTATTATTTCATAAATAACGTTATTTACATCTCCATCTATATATTAGTTACAATTGTACCTTTAATAGCAACTCCATTTCTTTTAATTGAAGTGATGGCATATTCTAAATCAGCATCTGAATGTACAGAAGGATCTATTGTAATTTCTTCAAAATCTACTGGCACACCAGCATATCTGTAAAGTACCAAATGATTTGCTTCTGAAAATTGTAAAACTTCAGAAGGATGACATTTAATTGATTTTATTTTATTCTTTTCCATTTAATTTATTTGGAATAATCAAAATAATTTGTTTTGAAGTATGTATAAAATTTGTTTACTGAAAAATTCATATGCCATTGCAAAGCAAATAATCAGTAAGTGTATATTTTACTTTACTCTAAGGAATTACCTGAAAACTTCTTTTACATATCCCATAAGTTCCGGACCAATACCGCCACCAGGCAGCATTGTGACTGCGTGACGACCCCCATATTGTGCTTTTGGAATTTCATCCTTAGGTGTAACAAAATAATAAAAATCAGGTTTATATTTTGCTTTAGCATACTAGTACTGATGACTGGTTAAATTAAAGTAGGCACATAAAGTCTGAATGTTTGTCTGCACATGGACATTTAGTCAATTTATATATATAATAAATACAGTGTTAATACTAGATAAAAATATAATTACATCCACAAGTAAATTTAATTTATGATTGTCCACAATAGTTAAAACGCAGATAATAAAAACAAATATTAAAATATTATTGACACTTACTGATTGCTTAATAAGAGGGGTTTTATGTTGAATATCAAATGCAGATAGCGTCGAAGCCTAAAGAAATATGTTTTCAATTAATTATTCATATTGTTAATATTAATTTTACATATGTCACATTTATGTAACCTTTTTGATATCTTGACAAATTCCAAGAGAGTTTCTTAAAGGCTTCAAAATCCGTAACGCCATTTCGTTATACTGCTTAAATTGTGCAATCGCAATTTAATAATAAATATTGTTCATCAAACTTTATTTCGATTTATTTATTATTTTATATTTGTCTAAAATTAACTGTTTTCACTATTTTGGAACTTTTCAACATAAGAGATATTTTATTATTTAGGGCAACACTAAAAAGTCAATTATCAATCTACGGTAATACTAGTAACAAAACTCAAGTCATATTTCAGATTTTGTGAATGACTTTGTAGTTTCTGAAAAAATAATATTTTGAATAAACGTAAATGGTAAGATTTGTTTTAAATACTATTTTATGAATACTAAATATTATATTTTTAATTGGTAAAATACTTTTGTGTTTGTATGAAGTTAAATCTAAATTGACGTAAGCAGTAATAACAAAATGCGGCTTAGAGCTTAGTTTGAAATTTCTTTCTCTTATAGTTTATTTTTCTTAAATAATTACTGTGGTGGAAAATAATATAATTTAATCATCATATTAATTTGTCTCTCAGGGTCAGAGTCAATCAGGTGGAAATGCGGGTGGTGAAAAAAAAGATGACAAAGAGAAAAAGAAGAAGTATGAGCCACCAATTCCAACTCGTGTAGGTAAAAAGAAACGTAGGACTAAGGGTCCAGATGCAGCCCTAAAACTGCCACAAGTAACTCCTCATACAAGATGTCGTCTAAAACTACTAAAATTAGAAAGAATTAAAGATTATCTTCTCATGGAAGAAGAGTTTATTCGTAATCAAGAACGACTCAAGCCTCAGGAAGAGAAAAATGAAGAGGAGCGATCAAGAGTAGATGACTTGAGAGGAACTCCTATGTCTGTTGGTAATTTAGAAGAAATTATTGATGATAATCATGCTATTGTTTCTACTTCTGTGGGTAGTGAACATTATGTCAGTATTTTGTCCTTTGTGGATAAAGATCAGTTGGAACCTGGTTGTTCAGTCTTACTGAATCATAAGGTAAATTTAATTATTGATTAATTTTAATTCTGTAGTTTTTTTAGTTTAAAATTGAAGGCTTTTTTTAATATTAATTTAACATATCAATTGTTGTTTTTGAAATGTGAAATATTTACCTCTTAAGTTAATTGAAGCAGTACTTATGGAAATGCATTGACTTTTTTGACAATGTTTATATACAAATATAACAAATCTTTATATACAAATACAAATTTATCTACATTATCTTTCTCACAAACTTTACCATAATGAAATTTATGAAATAAAACTGTAATAATGTAGTAATGTAAATATTACTTCTTTGACACATGCTCAAATTGAACAAAAGTAGCATTTATATAAACAATTTTCATTTATACGAGGTCTGTTCAAAAAGTACCCGGAATTTTCGTTTTTTCAAAAAAATATTTATTTATTCGTCTACATTAATGTGGTCCCCTTCAAAGTAGTCCCCCCCAGATATAATACACTTATGCCAGCGTTTTTTCCAATTTTCGAAGCACCCTTGATATTCACTTTTTGATATGTCCTTGAGCACTCTCAGCGATTTTCTTCAATCGAGGAAAACCGCCGTCCTTTCATGGGTCTCTCAACTTTGGGAATAGGAAAAAGTCACACGGAGCCATATCTGGTGAATTTTTGCACTTTGCAACACTTTATTTCATTTTTTACGCAAAATTTAATACAAATTCTTTGACTTTTCAATTCTTCCATTGTAAAAATCGCTGAGCTCAGAAAAACACGTCGAACCTTAGCGACTACCACAGACAAAGTAAACAGTGAATATAGCTGAAAATTTCATCATACTTTAGGGGCATGTATACCAACACAATAAAAAAAAATTTTGACAATCAGACACTCCAG